TCACTTGTTCAACGTGACTGCTTGTCGAGGGATGTGCTGTAAATCAGCGCATAGGCCGAATGGTTCGTAGATTGGATTGCCAGAGATATTGATCGGTGCCGCAGGATCTAGGGCCGATAGGCCAATCTCGCGGCTCAATTCGGCTTTTTCCAACTTTGCTTTACGGAGACGTCGTTGAAAATGAACACCTAAACGAACAAATCATTCAATTAACTTTTAATTGATAATTAAGAAGACCTGGAGATTTGATCTGATGTCTCGATCTGCAATTTTCATGGAACTCACAAAATCCACCAAACATTGCGAGTAGAAGTAGAATGAAGAGTACGAAAACTGTCAACGCAACCAAATAGAACATCTCGTTCTGAGGCGCCATCATGAAGCCAACGGCATGATCCATTTCTGAAATACTCACAATTACCTTGCGACCTGTGTTCGCTCTCTTTGTAGGGGCAGGTCAACCGATTTTCATGTTATTCTAAGTTGTGCAGACCTTTTCCATTTCTGCGCAAACATTCTGACGAATGGTTTATCTCATCTTAGTTCACGAAAGACATACTCACAATACAACATCTAATCAACTTAGTGACAAAATTGAACCCAAACAATGTGAATCCAATAGTCGATATCACATAAATTTAATCGACTGTTACTAGATGATTTCGCTAATTGTTAATCGCTAATCATCGCGTTGGTTTTATCGTTGCCGACAGAATGATTGCGTTAAATTCGAATAAGTTAACGAATATGTAGCCTGCGCTAACTGAGATGGCTTTAGAAAAATAGCTATATCTCCTCAACAAAGCAAAATCGCCCGACAAAATATATATTTTTCAGAATGCAGAGACTCTGCTCGATCGAACGGTGTGAAGAAATTCATATGTTACTGCTCAATGCTGAGAGTACGGAAGGTTTGAATGTACCAACCCCTACAGAATCAGATAAATAGCTATATCTCCTCGCAGAGGCGGAATTTTCCGGTNTAGGCTTGAATGTATCAAACCCATATTTCTATAGTAATGTATAATATGCATTGATCTATAGTGATCAAATGCATATCAATGGGCACCTCAGCGTTGGTTGAGATAGCCTTAATAAAATAGCTATACCTCCTTAACTAAGCAAAATCGCTCGACAAAATATATACTTTTCTGAATGCAGAGATTCTGCTCAATTGACTGATGTGAAAAAATTCATATGTTACTGGTCAAAGCTGAGGGTACGGAAGGTTTGAATGTACCAACCCCTATAGAATCAGATAAATTGCTATATCTCCCCGCAGAGAGGGATTTTCCGATGAGCTTTTCATTCCTAGAAAGCAGAGATTCTGCTCGATCGAATGATGTACAAATATCAATATGTTTCCGGACAAACTTGAGAAGACGGTAGGCTTGAATGTATCAAACCCATATTTCTATAGTAATGTATAATATGCATTGATCTATAGTGATCTAACCATATTTCTATAGTAATGTATAATATGCGTTGATCTATAGTGATCAAGTGCATATCAATGAGCACCTCAGCGCCAGTTAACATAGCTTTAATCAATTATTTCTATAGTAATGTATAATATGCATTGATCTATAGTGATCAACTGGTTTCTATAGTAATGTATAATATGGATTGATCTATAGTGATCAAATGCACATCAATGAGCACCTCAGCGCCAGTTCAGATAGCTTTAATCAAATATCTATGGTTGAGATAGCCTTAATAAAATAGCTATACTTTCTCAAATAAGCAAAATCGCTCTGCAAAATATATTTTTTCCTGAATGCAGAAAAATATATGAAAAAAATTTAGAAATATTTTCATTTCAATGCAATGTATCGCTATTGATCAAATGCTGATCACTATTGTAGCATTCCGGTGACCATCGCGTGAGTTTTTTCGTTGCCGACTCAATGATTGCGTTAAATTCGAATAAGTCAACAAATATGTAGCTATCACTTTTTGCTACTGTCATCTTCCTCCTTACCGTATGGCCAACGAATGCTATTCTAGAGAAACTTTTTAAATTCACCATTCTCTTGGTGAATCAGTTCACAATCCCGTTTTATTGGTGCTGGGTTAGTGGTCCCTATTTGAATGTATTGTAAATAAAGATCCATTTGATAAGATATGCTCACCCCAGACACAGTCTTCGCCTTCACCAACTTCACGACCGTTTGCGCATGAACAGAACGGTTGCACGTCCTCAGCGTTCTTCATTTTGAATCTACACGTGGCGTTCTGAGAGCATTTCAGACGACAAGGATATATCAACACGTAACCATCGCCTACGTTAACTCCTGAAACGAGTTATCAAACGAGTGCTTCTTGGGCTTCAGGATGTTGCTAAGAACAGGTAAATAAATTAATATTTATGATAATACTTAATTAGTCAGATGGCTTAAAATATACTTGATTGATCGATACTTCATCATTGATCATTGAAGATAACAAGGCGATTGGCACAAATGAGCGATTTCACACTCTTATGAGGTTTTTATTCCAACTTCATGCTTTCTTATTGGCAGATTTGAACTAGTGCAAAACATACCCGCATCAATGAAAGATTCTTTGCTGGCTGAGAAACTTCGTCCACCAGCGCCATGGTATTTTCGGCCACCCTCGCCACCTTCAATAAGGCAATGATAATGACGATGAATTAATTTCTTTACATCAAACGATTCGATTCATCAGTTTCATTCCAGAACATTTACTGGATCAGTTCATCATCAATGAATTGATTGAACACGAGCGATTTGGATGCGATTTCCGATAAGGGCGACGAAAACGTACCGTAATAACCAGCCCCACCACCACCACCAGGACCACATGACGCACCTCCACCACCATAACCACCTGCGAGCTTC